CCAGATAGTGATTTTAATAGCCAATGGAGTTTTCTATCTCAAATATTCAAAGGTGGCCTATGATGACAAGGTTTATAAAAACCTGGACACGGGCTTTTTCAGATCAAAGAAGACTTTATTGGAGCTGTTTTTAAAAAATACCATCGGGTGTGAGTGGGTGAGGTGCGGAGGTGTGAGGTACGGGTATGGTTGTGGATATGGGTTATTTATATCATAGCTATCCTATTCTTCACACTCTCACATCAAAAAAAGTTTCGTAGTTAAATTTTCGACGGCATTCAAAAGGCACGTTATTAGCTCTATTTATAAATCGCTATACTCATGTACTTTGTAAAAAAATCCCTTTTCTGAATAACGCGAACAGGATTTCCAAGGTCGCAGGAATCGATATAACTCCTCACAGCATATTCTCGGGTACCGATCTTGCAAACCAATACAAGGTTTTTCAGCTCACGACAGTACCAACGCACATGAGAGAAGGCCTCTCTCCAGCAAAAGAACGCATATCGAGGGTGTGGATGTTCTACCTTCGGCGATACCCATCCACATCTACACCCTATACATGTGTTATTTTGAGAACAATAACTTTGAATGTACTATAGGTGATATGGAACAAGATGAAGAATTAGCGGAAAGAGTAGTAGAAATTCAAGATGCGCTATATCCGAAAATTGAATTTCGCGTTAGGTTTATATGATTGATTTCATTTTATTAGGGTGTGGGTGTGGGTGAGTGAGTGGGTGTGGATAGCTATACAAGAGTTACCCACACCCACAGCCACCATATGATGCCTTATATTACTTTTCAGGAAAGTCCATAGACTTTCTGCACCAAATGAGTTTCCGAAAAAACAAATTGTCTTTCCGCACTAGAAACATTGCCGGAAGCCCAAAATGAATTTCCGAAAAATACACTTTCGCTTTTCCAAACTAAAAAGCTCGACCCAAGAAAAATCGGCTTCAGAAAACACAAAGATCATACCACGAAAACGCAGAATTTGGTTTCCAAAAGCATTGTTGACTGTCGATGTGGGTGTCGGTGCAGGTGCGCCAAGGTGTGGGTGACTCAATACGACTCTCACGCGTCTATCAAGCTGCGCATCCTACAAAACGACTCACATGCCTTCCCTAGCTGTGAGTGCTACGAAAGAACAGATCGCGGAAGGATAATTCACGAAACGATAGGCCGCGAAACGACTTGCCGAGAAAGGACTGAGAACAATACGACACACGTCACATCGCAGCTGCTGCGGGTGCTGCTAAAGGATCGATCGCGAAAGAACTGAGAACAATAGGACACATATCACATCGCACTTGCTGTAGGTGTCGCGAAAGAAGTGGCCAGGAAATGATTGGTCGCGAAAGTATTGGGAACAATGGAAGACACGTTACCTCAGGGGCTCAGTGGGTTTCGTGATTGGAGTACTCGGTAAGCGGTCTACAAGGTTGCAGCTGATCTGTGTATGGGAAGAATGATGAGACGGTTTACAACAGTTGGAAAGGGCACCTGAGCATGTGTGCATGCTATGGATGCTGTGTAACGTCCACGAGAGCGTCCTGGTAGTTGAGTGTCGGGTTGTCTTGTCAGACATTGGTCAGAGATATTTTCACATACATATCATATTTGGAGTTGTGTTGTGAAAGTAGTTGTAGCGCGTGATGATGGTTTAGTTGAACTGTTGCGGTGTTGGCCATACCCTAGTGGCTTTGAAAAGAGGAACCCGATTCAGAAAATCTAGAAAGATTAGAGATGATGTAGCTCTCATGAAATTACATGATAAACGTGGCAAGAGATGATGGGGCGCTTTGTTTTTGTTTTGTTTTCAATTCGTTGGGTGCAGAGTTGTTTTGGAGACGAATTCTTGCATTTTCTGAGATAAGTGGTTTTCTGGAAACTATAGGGAAGAATTTTTCTTTAACGGATTTGTAGTCTTACCTATGTTTAATATTGAGAGATTATTTTTGGAATCATGGATAGATGTGTCTGCTTTAGAGTAGCCATAGCATCAAAGAATACGACCTGTGCACCTCCTGTACCCTCTGATACCTCGTATTCCTGCTATATGATACTTTGTGGGAGTTCTCCCGGAAACTCAATTAAATATCGACGGAGAAGGTGTGGAAGATTTAGGAATATAGGGTATACAGTGATATAGAAGATATGGGGTAGCCAGTGCAGATAATCCATAAATAGCGCTTGACTTTTAATAGTATTCTATTCTGATATATTCATGCAACTTATCGATGGTTGCTCGAAGAAATAATCAAAATAAATAAATAACTGTTTACTATATCTCCTATATCTCTGGGGTTCCGGAATTTCGCCAATAAGACTTTCGCCAATAGGACTTTCGCCATTGGAGAAAGTCCATTATACTTTCCCTAATACACCTCATGGAATTTTGCCAATACATTCCGTGGAGTTTCGCCAACTGGCGAAAGTTCTCCGTACCTCCACCAATATACCTCTGGGCTGTCGCTAATTGGCGAAAGTACAGTGAGCTTTCAGCAATTTCATTGTAAATTAGACGTACACTAAAAAAGTTTTTCTCACCTACATCGATGAGTGTAAACTATGATATATATATAGTCTAATAACATTAACTCCAGCGCTGAAATATATCCTATATTAATATTGTTCCATGACAACTGAGATAGTCCACCTCGCTTTCGCCAATTGGCGAAAGTCCACTGTACTTTCGTCAATATATCACCAGGACTTTCGCCATTGATGAATGTCTTATTGGCGAACATCCCGCCACCCATATCTCTATATCTCCTTCATATCCTACATCTTCTTTATCTACTCTATCTTCTGCGTCGGTATTGAATTGAATTTTTGAGGAAACTCTCCGAAGACATGTAATCACGTTTACGTTGATGTGGATGCTGTGAAAAGTGGAGGTCTACTTGAGGATTTGTAGAAGTATTGTTTGAAAGTTCAAATGTTATCGTGGAAAGTGGACTCTGACTGCACGGAAAATGGTTTACACCACTTTAGTGGTTATTAGTTCGCTGTGGAGTTTTGTTTATAGTTTTGGAGGAGCTGTTCGAGGCGTGTGGTAGGTTCTTTTCGAGGATTTAAAAGAAGTTTCCTGGAAATCCAATTTATGACCATTATGTCATTATGTCCATTATGCCCTGTTCCAAATAAAGTCCACAAAAAAAAGAGTTTCCTGAAAACTAATAGAATGCATCAAATCGCCTATTGAGCCAACAGAAAATTAAGTTTTCAATTCTGATCTAAAAGAAGACTGATATTATTTGTGATTTTTTCGTTTGGATGATTATAATATCTTTAGAAAGAAGAAAACAATCAAAGCACACATAACAGTGTTGTTTTTTCGTTCTTATCAGGGAGAAAAATCGTTCTTTTTAAGTCGCCGAAGAGCAGTAATACAATGCACTACGACACTGAATAACTTGATCATTTTTTTCTTTACAACATAATTTTCTTTTACGACTACTTAAATTCGATACTAAACGTCGACAAGCAAAAGCACATTTGATGTTGCAAAAAAGTCAAGAAAAACAATTCTTATCGGATCAATAGAAAGAAATATTTCTGACTGAATTTCAAACAACTTCTCTCCATTGTTGGTTAGTTATAACGTGGCAAATAAATTCAAAATGGATGGGCAAAAGCAGAATGAAATGCTTTCTACATCCATAACGGATGTCGTAACAACTGCAACGACATTATCGTGTGTTATGGAATCAACACAATGCATGACTGAAGGCTATGTAATTATCTGGATCGACGAGGACATTTACCCAAACAATGAAAAATGTAAAAATACACTAACACAGCTACAACAGGTGACCGATCAAGTATATATTTTCACCACATCCGATCAAGGTATAGATTTTCTCACTGACATCAATGATCAAAAGGCATTTCTCATTCTGTCAAATCCTAAAGATC